CTTGAGCAGCAGCAGCGGCAGTGGCAGCGGCAGAGGCAGCAGGCAGCAAAGCTACTGAGCTAAATCCCCGGCTGGAAATGAGTCCTTTTTAAGTTTTTCATTTTGAGATGGGGTCTAAGTCCCTAAATTGTCCAGGTTGGGCTGAAATTTGTAACCTCTGACCACAGCCTCCCAGAGTGCTGGGTTCTAGAGGTGTGGCACCATGCACAACCTTTATGATATCTTAGTCCCGGGAAGTATTTTGTAGACATCCACAGATTTAAAAATTTATATGCAAAGACAAGACCCAGAGAAGCCAAGTCAATATTGAAGAATAGTAGGTTGTGGTGGTATATGCCTATACCAGCACTCTAGGAGGCTGAGGCAGGAGGACTGCAAGTCTGAGTCCAGCCTTGGCAGTTTAGCAAGACCCTGTCAAAAATAAAATGGCTGGAGATGTATCTGACTGTGAAGGCCCTGGGTTCAATCCCCAGTACTGCCCCCCCCCAAAAGGTAGATAAAAAATACTACTCAACTTTCAGTAACCAAGTCAGACAAGAGTGGTACTGGTTAAAGAACAAACAAGTGGACCTAGGGAACAGAATAAACCTCCAAAATACAGCCAGCTAGTATTTGACAATGGAGCAAAGGTAGCTCAATCGATAAAGGATATCTTTCCAACCATATGGGCAGGGCAAGATTTTTCTTTACTGGTAGTGCTGGGGATTGCATCCATGGCCTTCAACCTGAGCTATAATCCCATTCATTCATTCATTCATTCAGACACAAGGCCTTGCTAAGTCACTAAATTGCCCAGGCTGGGCTCTAACTTACATTCCTCTTGTCTCAGCCTCCAAAGCTTGTTGGGATTACAGGTGTGTACTACCATGTGTGGCTATAGAAACAAGATTCTTGACAGAATTTACACCTTCATAAAAATTCAAAATGGACTATAAACCTAAGTGGAGATCATAAAATTTTAAAATGTATAGAAGAAAGCAAAAGAACACATAAGTGATCTTGGATTTGATGTTTTAATTTTTTTGCCATACTGGGGATTGAATCCAGGGCCCACTGAATACTAGGCAAGTACTTGACGACTGCACTATACTCTCAGGCCTTGAGTTTTTAGATACAATGCCTAAAACATGATTCATGAAAAGTAAAAAATAAGCCGTACTTTATTAAAATTAAAATTTTTTTTTCCAAAGGCCCTATTAAGAGAATGGAAAGATACTCAGTGGTTCCACTGCCTGCCTTGAAAGCACAAGGACCTGAGTTTGATCCCCAGGACCAAGAAGAAAACAAGAGAATGGAAAGATAAATACCAAGGACAAGTAAGAAAATATCTGTAGGGCCAGGGATTTACTTCAGTGGTTCTGGTGCCTGCCTTGCAAGTGCAAGGTCCCGAGTTTGATCCCCGGTACCAAAAAGAAAAAGAAAATATCAGTAAAATACACATCTGGTAAAGGACTTGTATCTAAACTATGCAAATAAGGGTGGGGGGAGAGGCACCTGACCACAGTGGGGCATATGCCTATAGTTCCAAGCTACTTAGGAGGCTGAGTGGGAGGGTCCCTGGAGCCAGGACTTTGAAGCCAGGTTGGGCTAGTGAGACTGCACATTTTGTTTTGGGGTTTTTTTGGTACCAGGGATTGAACTCGGGTCCTTGCGCTTGCGGGGCAGGCAGCAGAACCACTGAGCTAAATCCTCGGCCCTAGACTGCACACTTAAAAAAAAAAAAAAAAAGAGAAAAATACAAAATATGCAAAAATCTCTTAAAACTCAGTAAATTAAAATATGGTCAAAGATCTGAACAGTTACACCACCAAAGGTGGTACTAAAGATGGTAATCAGCACATCGAAAGATGCTCAACATCATATGCCATTAGGAACTACAAATGAAAAGAGTGAAATATCACACTGCCCTGGATAAAACCAATGCACCGACACTACCAAATGCTGGCAGGTAGGTAGAGCCACAGAAATTCTCACTGTTGGTAGAAATGGGAAATTCCCACAGCATGTTCTGAAAGACAATTGGACAGTTTCTTACACAGCTAAACAGTTTTACCTCAAGATCCTGAAATCACATCCTAGGTTCAGCCTTCCACTTGAAAACCTGCACACAAATGTTTATAGTTTCATTTATAACAGCCCCAAACTGGAAGCAAACAAGATGTCCTTCAACAGGGAAACAGCTAAACCAGTGTGGCACAGAATAGAATGTACACAGAATACCATCAGCAAGAAAATAAACAAAAACAAACTTTATTGACATTTAACAAATGGATGAATGTACAAAAAGCCAGTAACAAAGAATTAGGTACTCTAAATCTATTCTTTTTTTGGTACCGGGGATCAAACTCAGAACCTTGCGCTTTCGAGGCAGGTGCCAGAAACACTGAGCTAAATCCCCAGCCCTCTAAATCTATTCTTAAAGGGCAGACAAAGCTAATCTAAACTCCAGGCTGGCCTTGGACTATGTAGCCCAGGTTGGCCATAAACTTGTGTCTCCTTCCTCAGATTGTTGAGTGCTGGGTAATATTACAGGCATGCCCAACCTAAATATAGCTGTGTTAAATTGTCCATTGTATCACGTTGGGTTGTACTGTATCACCTCCAAGTAACTTTTCAATCACCTTTTATGAGACTCTATTACTACACTAAACCTGTTGGCATTTTCTTTTTTGGTACCAGTGATTGAACTCAGGACCTTGTGCTTGTAAGGCAGGCGGTGGCAACACTGAGCTAAATTCCTGGCCCTTGTTGGCATTTTCTACTTAATAATCTTTTCAAATATCTAGGATTCAAAAGTAGCATGAGAGGTTTTCTAGACCAGGCAGGTGAATTAAGACTCGTTTCCAGATCTGTTTCTTTGATTTCCCATTGTAAATATCAGAAATCAAGTCTTACAACAAATACAGTGCAACTCTCTGATTTTTAAGTATGTGAATGACATTTTTGTGGAATCCTTTTCTGGACTCTCAGTGCTCCCTCCTGGTCATAAATTCCTGGAGTAAGCAAATTTAACACACCACCACCAACTGAGAAGTTGTGTGCAAGTATATGTCCATACAATAATACAAATGCATAAAGTTTTACCTGCAATATTAAAAATCTGCTAATAACCCAATGTCTTTCTACAAGTGAATAAGCAACTTGTGGAATAACTTACCGGCACAATCCTGCTCAGCAACAAAAAGCAATGAACTATTCAAACAAGCAAAACAAATTTATCTCAGGGAAAATCTCCACTATGCTGAGTAACAGGAGCCAGACTCCCTCCCCACAAAAACGTCCTGTATTTTCATTTAGTTAAAATCCCAGAAAATACAAATTGATCTAGTGACAGAAATTGGCCTGGAAGAGGGGAAGCAGGTAAGGGAAGAAGGCAAGAAATCATGACTCACGGAAACTCAAGGTTCACTACCTTGACTGTGGTGATGGTTACACAGTATCACATCATTTAAAATATTTGGTTTATAGGGCCAGCTGTGGTGGTGCATGCCTGCAATCCTAGCACTCAGGAAGCTGAGCCAAGAGGATCACCACGAGTTTGAGGCCAGCTTGGGCTACATAATGAGTTTAAGGCCAGTCTAGAGAGAGAGCCTGTCTCAAAAAAAGTTTAGGTTATAATGTCAACTATATCTTTAATCATTTTGACTTTTTTTGGTATTGGGGATTGAACTCAGGACCTTTCGCTTTTGAGGCAGGCGGTGGCACCATTGAGCTAAATCCCCAACCCCTTCTTTAATCATTTTGAAAATCTTTTTTTTTTCACTTTTAAAAGCTGTGTGTATTGTATATTGTTATAATTTACATGGAGATGTTTCAGAACTATTGCGTTTGCATCCCATTTGGCAGTGTTGGGGATAGAACCCAGGGCTTTGTGCATTCTAGGCAAGCAATCTGCCACTAGGCTACATGCTCAGCCCTCTCCCAACTTCTGATTGTATTGTCCTCACAAGGTGAGGGAATAATGAAAAACTACCACCCTAGCCTGCAATGACTTTAAGGTTTATGCTGGCAAGCTTCCTTTGAGAAGGGTTAAGTTTCATTAAACGGTGACAGACTTCTAAACAGCACATCTGTAACACAGGACCCCAAATACCTAACCTTGTCACACACTAGCCAGCAGACCACATAGGATCACGGGGTGGGGTCAGGGGTTGGGAATGTGTACACAGATGAGACCAGACAATGGTCTGTTCCAGCAGGCATTCTGCAGGTGCCTAGGAGACAGTGGCTATCTTTTTAGGTTGCCTCCATTTTGCAAGGAAGCATTTTGGTGATGCAGCCTCTACCAGCTCCTAAGACTTCTTGCCCCTTGGCTACTCAGGCTCCCGGAGACCAACAGTCTGCACTGCTTCTTTCTAGCCCAAGCCCACTCCAAGGAAAGCTCACCATTCTTTTTTTTTTTTTTTGGTACCGGAGATTGAACTCGGGTCCTTGTGCTTGCAACAGCAGGCGGCAAAACCACTGAGCTAAATCCCCAGCCCCAAGGTCACCATTCTAATACAGTACCAGCAGGGCTGTCTTGGGAGCTGGAGTGTTGGTCCTGCAGGCAGAAGGGGAATTGATCTGTCTCAGCTCTGTTCAGGGAGCTGGAAACTTGTGCTTTAAAGAAGGAGGGTGGTCGGGTCTTCCCTGTAGAAGCAATAGATGTGATGGGTGGTCTTGTGTCCACAGGAAGCAAGACTGGGCTGCTTTACTAGAGGTTACTTGAGAGAACTAAGAGTGATTTGTGAAGAGAATTTACCCACTTGAAAGCTTCACCTTCTTACTGCAGCCTTAACAGGTATTGTAGCTTCAACAGTCTCACAATTTGACCAATTTGTATCACTCATGTATTTAAGACAACCAAGAGCCAAGACTTCACTGTGTAACATGTTCAAATTACCGGGATAAGCAGAGCTCTATGTGGAATAATAAAACAGAACAGAGAAATGACAGCAAGGTGGACACTTAAGACATGTTCAGTACAGCACTAACATGCTTTAGAAAAGGATGCACACTGATTATGTACAAAACCTCTTTGAGTCCTTTATTAACGTCTGGAGATGTGTGGTACAATTAACAGCATCACACCAGCTACAGAAGTACAGAGATCCAGGAACGTACTTCAGAACAGGATCTCAGAGCAATATTTGGTGTTGCCTGCTCTGAACCTCCATAAAAATCCAATTCTGACAAACGCAGGATAAACGGTGTAACAACTTCACTTGGAAATGGTTCTTTAAAAAAGCAACAAGAACTGATAGTTCAAACTCTAGTGTGTGATGTGGCAGCCTCTCTTGGTGCTGTGGCACTACTGTAAAAGGCCAACTAGGGCATCTGAAGGTCAGAAAGAAGAACTGACTGGGGCAAGGAGAAGAGGCTTTATTTTCAGTGTAGAGAAATAACAGATGCTCTGAGTGGATGCTTTCAATCCAGGCCGTGTGGGTCCTGCCGGAATCCACCAGATACAGTCTATAAACTGATGCTGAAAAACGCCAGGGAGCCATCTGTGTCACTGCACCTCAGGAGTCACTGTGACACAGGGCAGATGTAACAGGGATGTGCCTAAAGAAAAACAGGGCTCGCTGTGTCGAGTCAGCTGCGATCCGTTTGCGCCACTGGATGCCACGGGTCCCCCTCTGCTTTCATGTGTAAATGAAGGAACACTACCTTTATTTCAATGTTCCTTTGAAAAGAACCAAAACCCTCCCCCCACCCCCACCATCATTCTTCATAAATTCTGTTTCCAAACTCTTGATTCTTCTTGGTCTAGACTTTTTCCTTTCGCTTTAATTTTGACACCTTCTTCACAGTCCCGTTCTTGTTTAGAAGCTTCAGGACACGATCTTTATGATCTAAAACCTTAAGCATGGAGTCTCTGGCCTCACTGATCTGATCCATCACAAGCTTGCACCTCTGCATGTTTCCCTGGAACAGAAGACATCACATCATCAGCGAGCAGTCATGAGGAGGGAACGGCTCTGACAGAAATGCTCCCTTGGGGAGAGGCCATTTTAAGACTTCCACATAGAGTGCTTTTTGGTAATATAGGCTTTCCCCCACCATCAGTGCTGGGGATTGAGCCCAGGGCCTCAATGCATGTTAGGCAAGCACTGTATCCCTGAGCTACATCCTTAGCACTTTAAAAACTTTATTTTGAGACATGGTCTCACTAAGTTGCCAGGTTAGTCTCAAACTTGTGATATGACTGGCTCAGCCTCCAGAATAGCTGTGATTACTAGAGCGTGCCACCACACTGGTCATAACAATAAGCTGTTATTATGAAAGACACTAGAGGTCAGGGATTTAGCTCAGTGGTTCCGCCACCTGCCTCACAAGCACAAGGTCCTGAGTTCGATCCCTGGTACCAAAAAGAAAAAAATAAAGACACTAGTGGGTGAGGGAGGGCAATGGGAGAAGGAGGACTCTAGCAAATAACCTGCTATGTATGTGATCAGATGGGAAAGGGCACATCCAACCTGTATTAGTTCATTTATTCGGTGCAGATCATCATCAATTGCAGCTTTTTTCTTTGGGATAATTCCTTCCTGTAGGTTGCTAAGTCTTTCAAAAATATCATGTTCCAGATTTGTCTGCAACACATAAGAGGGAGCATGTGACTCAGAGATATTGTTCTATATTAGCCTCAGGCAACGGAACCCACCTCAAGTCAATGTTGCCAACTATTGTAAGAGTGTTTGAGTGAAAATTCCCAGCCTAAAGTCCTTTCTCTAAAGGACTAAAGTATTAAGGTTAACAAACAGTCATGAAAATTGATCAATAGTGATTTGCATTTTATTTTGACATTATTTAGGTTCATCTCTTCAAGGATAACTTTTTTTTTGGTAACGGGGATTGAACTCAGGACCTTGCACTTGTGAGTCAGATGCACGCCACTGAGCTAAATCCCTGGCCCCTAACTTTTTTTTTTGAAACACTTATTTTCAATTCTTTTGAGTTTATATTTAGGAGTGGACTTGCCAAATTACATGGTAATTGTATGTTTAACTTATCAAGGAATCACTAAATTTAATTCTTTGACTTTTAAAATAAATTTTATTTTATCCTATTCCCTCCCTCAAGCTCCCTCCCCTCATGTACAAAAGCTTTGTTTCCATTTTTTCCTTCCATTTCACATTTTTTCTTGTTCTTTCCTTCCTTTCTCCCTCCCTCCTCTCTTGTTCCCTTCAAGGATAACTTTTAAATATGGCCCTGAATTCACAATTCCTCTCTCTGAAAAACAACTCTACTAGTTTTTTTTTGGTACCAGGGATCAAACTCGGGATCTTGCGCTTTCAAGGCTCACAGCGGCACCACTGAGCTAAATCCCCAGCCCAAATTCTACCAGTTTTGAGAAAAAACTTATGATTTTTATAAATAAAAAGCCAAGGAACTCACTTTTATAGATACTGATAACAGACCATGTTTTTGAGATCACTGCTACTTCAAATATGGGGAAACTTCATCAGGGTGTTGTTTTCACTGTATCCTCTCTTCACCCAATGGATGAAGGAGAGATTCTTATCCTAGGCTCATGAAATTGGCTGAACATAGAGGATCCACCATTGGACAGAGGAGACTGACAGCATTTTACCAGTCACATACATTACGGTCTAGGGAGGACACAGCATGCCATGCAGGGGCACATGAATTGCACACAAGACCAGACTGAAAAGGAGCAGCTGTGGGAAGCAGGCTTTGTAGTATCAAGAGGGAAGGGGTGCCCCTGCTCCCTAAGGGAGTCTGTGACTGGCTTGACCAATATCTGAAGCTGGCAGAGAAATTAAGCCCACTGCTAACTGAGAAACAGGACTGTGCCTGGTTCCCATGGTGAGGAGGGCTGTTGAGACAAAGGACCTTATCTAAGTGATACGCTAGGGAGGAGGGCATTATGGGTAGGCCATTAATGGCTCCCTGTTTCAGATGTTACTTAATATCAAATCTTTTGGGGGGGGTACCGGGGATCAAAACCGGGTCCTTGCACTTGTGAGGCAGGCGGTGGAACCACTAAGCTAAATCCCCGGCCTTAATTATCAAATCTTAATTTTAGGTTTTCCACCACAGCTGTTCCATACATTTTAGATCTAAGATTTAATCATAAGCACAAGTAACTGATATAGTAGTTTTGATATTACATAGCAACACACAGAAAACGTACTATGACCCATGTTAGTAGGGAATGCTTCAGATTTACTCAAGAGACAAACGTTCTGAGAAGCTGAGCATCTCCAGCATCCTCTAGAACTGCACCTACCAGCTGTAGTAACTGGGCAGCACAGAGGTGGACTTTCCAGCCCTGGGCACGACAGGATACTCCTTTCTGATTAGCTATTTCCTGCTGCATAGCTTTCTTCTCCTCTGGAATCATGTAAAAATAAGCGTGTTTCAATTTTTATATGGCTAAATCATCTGTGTTCAAGTAACCTTAGTGCCATAATTTTTAAGCAAGATTTCTTTACATAAATGTTTTTAAGTAATTTCTCTGCATTTAAGCCATTAGAAAAAGGATTCAACCACACGAATAAAAGCTTTCTACCTTTCTGGTCACTCCAGAAGAAAGCTTGAAGATATACTCCTCTGGTGAGTTAAAAAGACCAAGTTAATATTCTAATCTCTTATAAGATGGGTGATGGTCTTTAGTGATTCAGACTTGCTCAGTATGTGATGCATATAAGCACGTGCAGGGTTGGACATGGAATTCTGGAAGCTTTTTGGTGTTATCTAGATCTGAAATCCCATGAATCAAGTGGGAATTATATTTCAAATTTGGGAGAAAAGTCCAGTGACCAGTGGTGTAATAAAGTAA